CATAAACTATATATATATATACACATATATATATATATATATATATATATATATATATATATGAAAATCAAAAAACAGAGGGAGTGATGTGGTGAATTTCCTTATTCCTTGCTAGGTATTTAAGTGCATTTAGGTGTCTCACTGGTAATCTATTTTCATTGTTGATTTCTATAGCAGCAGTGAGTATGCCTTGGATGGAACCTTTAGTGAATTGCTAGTGATGTTCTCCAAGCTGCTGGCATATTTCATATAGAGAAAAAAAACATTAAAATTCCCTTCCTTTTTGCTGTGCGATGATGGCCTAGAGGTAAGATATATGACTGGTCTCAAATCAGTTGGGTTTTGATCCCAACATGAAGCAGTCAGATGTCTAGCCACACTATATATATATATATATATATATATATATATATGTGTGTGTGTGTGTGTGTTTTTAAAACAATTCACCCCAAGCAAGGTGGGAGTGCCACTAGCACGCAAACATTATAGAGGATTGAGAACAAGAGTAAAGAGGCATGTTTGGGGTATGGAAACAGAGAAGGACAGCGAACAAGATATCAGATGTCAATTGACATTACACTTGAATATTTGAAGATTATAGTTATTGGGGAAGCAAGCAAGAGGAAGGGAGTTCCATGGATGGGATGTGCAAAAGAAGAAGCTGTTTGAGTAGAAGAGGTGGTTACATTTAACCATTTTGACAGTGAAAGGGTGGGACTGAGATGCCAGCCTAATAGCATGCTTAAATTCATGCAGTCCAGGAACCAGCAAAAGTAGCTCATCAGAACAGTTGCCATGAAAATACTTGTAGAAGAGACAGAGGGCAGCCATTGCACGTCTGTGGGGAAGTGACTGTAGACTAGATGCCAGATCAGGACCTATCACATTGCATATTCATCTCTGGATTTTGTCATGGATAAGATGTACAGCTGGGGCACCAGACCATATATGACACCAATATTCCATGCAAGGTTGATTTATAGATTTGAAGAATGGACTCAGATGAGAAAAACTTTCTTGCACAACAAAGAGAACCCACTTTCCTTGCAATAGATGAAGCTATTGATTCAATGTATTTATTCCATCTCATGTCAGTGAACAGCATGAGACCAAGCAAGTGTAATGAGGCACGCTCGATGGGTTGGAAGTCATTCTGAAGAGAGGCATGGAGGTTTCTCTGTTATGGGTAAAGGAGAGCGGTTTCGTTTTGGAGGCATTAAAATTTACAAGCCATTTCTTGCCCCAGTCAACCACAGATTTGAAATCAGCAGCCAGGTTAGTTTTTGTTAATGATACCAGATTTATTACTGAGGCAGGAGTAAATAGTAGTGTCATCTGCGTAAATGCCTACTTGGGAACTGATGACATCAGAAAGGTCATTGATGAAGATCAGGAACAGTGTAGGGCTCAAGATTATATATATATATATATATATATATATATATATATATATATATATATATATATATATATATATAAAGAAAGAATAAATGAATGAATTAGTAGCTCTGAAAAACTGCCCAAAAGTCTCCTACCAGCATAAAAGTACTAAATGCCATAAGAAATAGTAGAGATTCAATATTAATTAAAAACTAGGTTGGCAGTAACTGGCCACTACTATCAGTTTCATGTGTTTGCACATAATCATCAGTTACTGAACCTCTGAAGTGAGCGTATATCCAAATACAAACAAACACCATTTTAAAACAATTTCTTCCTTATAAGAGATCATTCTTGGAATCTTGTCAGATATGGCAATTACATGGATTGACATGTGTAATCATTTTTTATATCATTATATGAATTGATGTTGTGGTCTAGATTTTATATAATTATGTTTATTGTATTTTGGTACCTATGTTGGTATATGTTATATGAGCATCTGTATATATCATGTTTGGTGGTTATTGTTATGTGCATGGGCTTGTGTATGTACATGTATACTGTTATATACTGAACCTATGAGTACTAATGGTATGTCCCAATCCTCATAAGTATGTTGGACACTATTGTAAGTGAGGGTAATATACTAAGTAGTCCACCACTAACTGGTTTACCTATTTCACACCACCAAACTTAATAATTTTCAACCTTTCTTGAAAAAGCAATGCTAGTCGCATTCATATCAATCCTAACCCCAATTACCCAATGTCTGTTATTCAACATATCCCATCATCTGTTGAATGCCGTATTAACCATCACTCCTCTAGCAAAGAGTTTTTCAATAAACATAAAACTTTACAATAAAATCCTTAGTGATAGTGATTATACATCTTCTGAGATTAAGTATGTTAGAAAATCATAGTCATTCTAGGAAGAAGAACAGAAACAGGAAGATCATTTGGTATTCACCTCCATTCAATAAATTAGTTTGTACTAAATTGGGACACATATTTTTAAACTTGATTGATAAGCATTTTCCTAAGAATAGTCAATTAAGTCAAATCTTCAATTGTAACATGCTGAAAATGAGCTAAATTTGTACTAGCAATGTGGATAAAATTATTAAATCACACAATAATAAAACACTGAAATTTTATTACAATAATAACTGTAATCCAAGCACAAAATCTAATATATCCTGTGTAACTGATCTATGTAATTGTAGGAGTCCTGATCAATGTCCATTATCAAACAAATGCTTAACGGAATCCATTGTATATATGTCCTAGTTCATCAATTGAAAACCATGGAAATATTAAATTATATGTTGGTTTCACTAAGAATGCCTTTAAAAATGATATTATACTCATATATCTTCTTTTACTAATACTATCAAGTGCAATGACTTCACTTTCTAAATATTTCTGAAAATTGAGGGAAGAAAACAAGATACCTAAAGTTAAATGGAGGTTCCTCAAACAAGCCAGAACTTTTAGATCTTTGTTAGAACCTTGTTTTATATGTCTACAAGAAAAAAGTGTATTATTAAACTTTTGAAAAACAGTCAATTGTTAAAGCAAAGATTTGAAACTACTGTTTTTTGTAGGCACGTTAAAGATCTAACACTACAATCTTGCTAAACCTTTAACTTTATAATTCACTTCTCTTATTTTCCTTCTTATATATATATATATATATATATATATATATATATATATATATATATATATATATCTATATCTATCACTATTATATTTACTGATCTATCTTAAATTAAGGTTTTAAATTGATCTGTACATGTATACTGCTAGTAATAATATTAGATAAAAATAGTTTTATACTTATACTTATATTACAAGTTATATAATTTGGTAATAGGCTTTAATTTTTTTTTAAATTTATATTAGTATTCTATACTTTATGTCTTTTTATATATATTTTAAATTATAAATTTAAATTTTTAATGTAATATTTGAAATAGTTCATTTATTTTGCATGTCTAATATTTTTACATCTTCAAAGAGTCTTTCATCTACATACTGTATTTAATTCTATTAAATAATATGTCTGCTTATTTAAATAATGTCAAACTTTAATCGTTGAATAGCATCTATAGTTGTTCAATTTTTTTTTTCTTTTCCTTTTATGGTGTTTCTCCTTATGTCTTTTTAAAAAAATTTGAATAATGAAAAAAGGAAGGTGATGTTTCATAAGTAGCATTTTTAAATAGAATTGTTTATAACCATCTTTGTTTCTCACCTGTTGAGATGCGTTTACACTGAAACAAAAATGCATCTTTGTCATGAGTATTTGTTTGTCCATATGTAACATCTTTATAATATATATATGTGTGTGTGTGTGTGTATGTATATGAATGGATATATATAATTTTATCAGATTTAGATCCACAAGCTATATAATATTAAAAGGTTTGTTTTTATATATATATATATATATATATATATATATATATATATATATATATATATATATATATATACACACATATGTTTATATGAAATTAGACAGATACATTTATAATCTTAGTAGATATATACTTGATTATTTCCTCGGGTCTCATTAATTTTTTAATTTGACTACTGTTACTATTATTATTTTGAATACCATTATTTTATTTTCTCTATATTTATTATCATTATTATTTATTATTATTAATATTTTGTATTATTAATATATTTGGTTTTATTAAGAATATCTTCAGTAATTTTATAACTATATTAAGGAAAATCTTAACATATATATGTGTGTGTGTGTGTGTATTATATGCATTATTTTTAACTGGATTATATATTTATGTTAAATTTGAAATCTTTGAGAAAATTACATGATTTTTCAAAAACTTCTTAACTACACATTATCTATATTAAAGGCCTCCCTTTCACTTTTTTCTTTTTAATGTATACATAAATGCCATAATCATAGGCCAGACAGAATATTTCAATTGCACACTTAACCCTCTTTCATTGATTTTCCCTCCCTTTTCTTTCTTTATTCTTTTCTTTTTTCTCTTTTTTCCATCTCATGTGTCTAATTGTCACAATTGTGTTAATACTAGTATTAATTGGTTAGATTTATTTTAAGTAATACTTAACAGTAAATATGAGTGTAGGTCAGTTAATCAAGCCGTTTTAATTTTCTTTTTTTTATGTTAGACTATTGAATTATTTTAGTTGGTAAGTTATGAAATGGGGAAAGAATTTTAAATAGTTAATTTTGCAATGGCTGGTTTTGTAAAAGTAAGTTTATGTAAATGGGGCATAGATAAATTTATGCATGTGTGCCTGCGCCTGTGTATGTAAATAAATTTATGTGTAGATGTGTGGGTGTACACGCATGAATAGGAATTTTGCTTGCTTAAACATGTAATAAAAATGTAAACTTAAAGATTTATTGGGTGGTGAAAATAGCGAATAATTTTTTTTTAGAAACATTCCTATAAGTGTTAGACTAATTTTTGGTGCTACTATAGGTAAATGATAGATTTGGGATGGGTACGTGTGTAGGTTTTAGTTAAAGGATTAGTAATGTTATGGGATTAGCAATTTAAAACGTATGAAACATTTGGATTAATCAATCTAATAAAGAGACCAGCTTACCAAGTTAGGGATCCAGGGGATGTAACTCAAATCGAAACCGGATTAATTAAAAAGACACCAGTATATTAGAGGAGGTGGGGGACTTTGAAAAGCCTTTTTTCATTGGCTGACACTTTTTTTTTTTTTGCAATATCTAGATATGTAACATGACACTTTCAAGGAGACAGCCTTACTCGTCTCTAGTCAGGTCAGGGTTGACCACCTTTGATGCAACTATATATATATATATATATATATATATATATATATATATATATATATATATATATACACACATAGATAATATTAAATATACACATACATATGCAAAATATATAAATATATATACATACATGCATACACACATATATATATATATATATATATATATATATATATATATATTTTGTAAAAAAAAAATTTTGAATTTGTAGGGCTGATGAATTGGATGTATTTACGATTCCAGTGGAATAAATTATGACCATGGAATATTAGTGTTTAAGCAATTTTTTATATATATATATATATATATATATATATATATATATATATATATATATATATATATATATATATTTGTTGTATGGATATTAGCTTGTAACCCTGTATTCATCAGACAAACCAGTTTATGTTTTTAAAAAGTTGATTTATTTATGCTCATTTGTGTTTGATCATTTGTGTGTGGTGGAGGGGGGATTTTCTTCTGTGTTTACTTCACTCCCACATAAATAGACATACATACATACATATATACAGGTGTATGCATTTTAGTTCACACAAACTCCCATTAAAAATAATCTGAGGTTAGGCGCATATATATAAGAGAGAGAGAGAATTTATCAGTCAACGTGTCATTTATTTAGTTCATGCCACGTTGACTGATAAACTCCTACAACAAAAAAATTATAAATTGCCGTATTAGTAAAGAACACTCGTTTAAATTTTCAAATATTCAACCTTAATGTTGTGACTGCATACTCCACAAGTTTGTATCTGTTATCAATACCACATTTCAGAAAAACATATTTTGATTTGCAATATAATTTTTTGTCTTGGATGCTACCTGAATTTTACCAAAAAGAAAATAGTTTCCATGCCTGATGATGACCAGAAGACCTGTCAAAAGTACTTGCATATTTAAGGAAGACCTAATACAATTTGTAATTTTAAAAAACAAGGATCATAACATTCATTGAATGGTTAGTGGGTTCATGAATCTTTAAAATTTAGTTAGTGAAGTGATTTCTCCATTTCATTGTTTTATATATATATATTATGAAATGGAGGACGAATATTTTCTGTGAAAATTTCTCAGACATTCAGCCCGCTAAATGTTGTTTAATACTGTTTATTATAAACAGAGCATTTACTTAAATATTTGTATCTATAAAAAGAATGTATAAACAAAAATGTCTTAAAATATATATATATATATATATATATATATATATTCATTTGCATGGATTGTAGTTTGCAACCCTGGGTTTCACGCTTTTGTGATTATCAGTCAAACTGGTTTAATTTTTCAAAAGTGGATTTATTTATACTTTTTTTTGTGTTTGACTATTTGTATGTTTGGGGTGGAAGCTTGTTTGAGATGACACTTTCACATACATAGACACACATATATACAGGTGTATGCATTTTAGCTTTTATAAACACACCCATATAAATAATCTTAGGTTAGGTGCAGTGACAAATGAAAGAGGCGCTCCCTGTGATTAAGGTGCGTATCAATGGAATAACGCGTACCGCTTTAGTAGATTCGGGCTGCTCTCGGTCACTCACGAACAGTTCAATTTGCCGACAGTGGAGCAGACAAAAGATGGACGTACTAACGGCTGATGGAAAAGCTCTCAGAATTCGGGGAGTTGGAAACATCAAACTCACTATCAACAACGGTAACCCCGTTACAGTCAGTGTGTTGGTCGTGGACAGCGCGTTATTAGGTTTTGATCTGCTCCTTGGGATGGACATTATTAAGGAGCTGGGCGGCGTATGCATCACAGAGGCGGGCGAAGTCGAGTTTTCTGATCCGCCTATCTGCCTTGAGGATTAACGAACCTGACTTCAGTGTAACTTTCGACCAGCGCAGACGCGTATGGACCGCAACGTGGAAGTTGGCGGGTGGACGAACGCCCACGCCACTGAAAAATAAAATAGCCGAGTACCCGGTTCCAGAGCATATCAGGAGCGAATACGAAAATGAATTGCAGCTTTGGATAGCAAACGGCTGGCTTGCGCCGTACCCGGAGGAGGAGTTAGGGCCGCCTCGAGGACTGATTCCGTTGATGGCAATAGTGCAAGAGAATAAGAAGAAAGTGAGACCGGTCATGGACTACAGGGAATTGAATACATTTGTAGATGCATATACGGCCAACACTGACGTTTGTGCCCAGAAATTGCGGGAATGGCGACAGCAATGGAGCAACGTGGCTACCCTCGATTTAAGAAGGGCCTACCTCCAAGTCCGAGTCCACCGATCACTCTGGCCCTTTCAGACTGTCATGGTAAAAGGACAGAGATATTGCCTCACTCGATTGGGATTTGGTCTTAATGTGGCTCCAAAAATCATGTCAGCGATTATGAATGTGGTCATGTCGCAGGATGAGGAAATTCGAAGGGCAATGTCATCCTACATTGACGATGTTTACGTCAATGAAAACGTGGCCTCTTCAACGAGGGTTAAGGAACATCTGGAGTGCTTTGGCTTGGTGTGCAAGGCCCCAGAGCCGCTACAGGATGGAGCGAATGTACTTGGACTACACGTCAGTAGTGATGGAGAAAAACTTCGCTGGAGACGAGGTAGTGACGTCCCGGAAGTCCCGCCAGTGATCACTCGTCGGAGTACCTTCTCCATGTGTGGGAAACTGGTAAGCCATTTTCCCGTATGCGGTTGGCTCAGAGTGGCGGCAGCAGCAATAAAGCGCCGCGTAACTTCTGTTTCGTCAGGATGGGATGATGAGGTGCACGACGTTACCCTAAGATGCATGATAACTGAAACTATGGAGAGAGTGATGCAAGACGATCCCGTGCGAGGTGACTGGTGCGTTAAGGGGAATGAGCTCACCGTTTAGGTGGATGCCAGCTCATTGGCCGTGGGTGTCGCCCTTGAGGATAATGGGTCCATCATAGAAGACGCCTGCTGGTTACGACCTGAAAATGATGCACGACACATATAAACCTGGCCGAACTAGACGCCACTCTGAAGGGGGTTAACCTGGCGCTCCAATGGCAAGCAACAGTGCTACACATCGTCACGGACTCAGCATGCACTCAGCGTTGGATATCAAATGCACTTAGCGGAAGAGCGTGATTGACCACCAAGGCATCGAGCGAGATGTTGATACGAAGGCGGCTCACCACGCTGATTGAAATTATCAAAGAGTACAACCTGTCGGCAGTCAACATAGCAGATGCATTGACTCGCGTTCTGCAACGTTGGTTGGCTGCTGCTTGGAAAGAGTCTGAACCTCTGCAGCTGCCGTGTACGGCTTCTGTGCTCAGTATGGACCTCGAGCGGATCATGAGCATACATGAACAGCATCCTGGGATTAAACGGACGCTCTACTTCTCGAAGATGGTCGACACGGCAGTCAAAAAGACGGATGTTAGGACAGTAGTGCAGAGGTGCGAGGTGTGCCAGTCAATTGACCCGGCACCGGTGCAATGGCAAAAAGGAAACTTGAGTACTACCCATGTTTGGAACAGGCTGGGGATAGATGTTAGGCATGTTGGCAGCCAGCACTATTTGACTATTATTGACTGTGGACCCTCTCGATTTGCCATTTGTCGACTACTGCACCGGCAGGACACTGCCAGCATAACACGTCAATTGGAGTCCATCTTTTACGACCGGGGGCCACCTGCAGAAATATTGACAGATAATGGTGCGGCGTTTTCCTCAGAGCAATTCTCGCAGTTCTTAAAGAAGTGGGGTGTGCGGCTTCGATTCCGGTGCGCCTACCTGCCGGCGGGAAACGGCATAGTAGAAAGGAGCCACCGGTCTATAAAAGTGATTGCAGCCAGAAAGCGATGTTCGATCCCCGAAGCAGTCTATTGGTATAATGCGACGCCTAAAGACGGTGTTTCGTCTACAACAGCACCGGCTAACATGGTGCACGCCTATCACTTACAGCTGCGAGGCATTGACATTGCAATGGCTCCGAGCGACGTGCACACTAAATACAGAATTGGTGACGTAGTGTGGGTTAAGACCCCGCACAGCAAGTTTACGGACAAGCTTAGAATGGGGCAAGTTACCGAGATTATCAGCCCGCAGTCAGTGCGGGTTGATGGCGTGCCTCGTCATGTTAAAGACTTGCGGCCAGTTGTAGGGTTAAAACCGTCATCAGATGATGAAAGTGACTCTGAAGATGGTGCGCGAGTGGTGTATTTAAAGTCGGATCCACTGAGTTCTACCTCAAATATCAGTACTCTACCTACGGACGTTAACGTGGCCAGCTGTCCAGAGGCGGATGGTAGCTCAACGGATGAGAGTTCATCCGAGGATGAGGACCCTGTCATCCTGCTCAGAAGGAGTGCCCGGCAGAAGAGGCCTGCCCCGAGTTGCACGGTGTGCGATCACGACAGCGAGACACGGGATGAATCTGGAAATCTGCCACCTCGGAGCAAACGAGTTCGCGCATGTGTGGTTATCCCAATATGTCAAGCATGCAAGTTGTATATATGTGGATGCAGTCACCAGACAGACGCAACCATCTCTCGAACTGAGAAGCTTTGTGAACTTAAGATCAGGAGGGCATGTAATGATTTGGTTGGTCAACTTAACACTCCTAAAGTGAGTGGAGGTGGGCAGGCGCGGAAACTGCTTGTTGGTGTTTTGCATAGGTGAGTTACCAAGCTCTATGTAAAGGGATGGAATGAGAAGGAGGGCAGTTTTTTTTTTTAGTCTCAGAAGTGGAGACTGTGTCCGTCGCTACGACAGCAGGAGAGAAAGAGACGATTCAATTTATTTTTTCGTGACACATTCCAACACACATCTGACTTCTGATTCAATGTCCCTGCATATATACCATTACATCATTATTTCAATTTTCAATTTATTTAATTTAATATTTTTTAATATTTGGGGAAGGTGGCCTAGCCCCCTAAACCTCTCTGCAAGTACGGCTCTGTTATTGTTGTAGGGTGTTTTTTCTGGACAAATATAGGAGGGGGTGTAGCGGACCACCTCGGAGTGGGGTACGATATGAAAGACGGTCCGAGCGCCTCGTATCGGTATGAGGTCACAAGAGGCCGGCAAACATTTTCGTATTAAAGACGTGAAATCTGACAAGGTGAAACAAAATGGACAACAGAACGAGGATATGTATGATGAATGCCCTAAGTTTATTTAGAAAGCAGATGCAAACGTTACGATTCTGTCGACGGTTCGCAGTGGAGATGCAGACCTTACCAGCCGACGGTTGGCAGTTGAGGTGCAGTCGTTAAATTCGTGTCGACGGTTGGCAGTTGAGGTGCAGTCGTTAACTTCGAGTCGACGGTTCGCAGTTGAGGTGCAGTCGTTAACTTCGTGTCGACGGTTCGCAGTTGAGGTGCAGTCGTTAACTTCGTGTCGACGGTTCGCAGTTGAGGTGCAGCCGTTAAATTCGTGTCGACGGTTCGCAGTTGAGGTGCAGCCGTTAAATTCGTGTCGACGGTTCGCAGTTGAGGTGCAGCCGTTAACTTCGTGTCGACGGTTCGCAGTTGAGGTGCAGTCGTTAACTTCGTGTCGACGGTTCGCAGTTGAGGTGCAGGCGTTAAATTCGTGTCGACGGTTCGCAGTTGAGGTGCAGCCGTTAAATTCGTGTCGACGGTTCGCAGTTGAGGTGAAGTCGTTAAATTCGTGTCGACGGTTGGCAGTTGAGGTGCAGTCGTTAACTTCGTGTCGACGGTTCGCAGTTGAGGTGCAGCCGTTAACTTCGTGTCGACGGTTCGCAGTTGAGGTGCAGCCGTTAACTTCGTGTCGACGGTTCGCAGTTGAGGTGCAGTCGTTAACTTCGTGTCGACGGTTCGCAGTTGAGGTGCAGTCGTTAACGTCGTGTCGACGGTTCGCAGTTGAGGTGCAGTCGTTAACTTCGTGTCGACGGTTTGCAGTTGAGGTGCGGTCGTTAACTTCGTGTCGACGGTTCGTAGTTGAGGTGCAGTCGTTACGATTCTGTCGACGGTTCCCAGTGGAGGTGCAGACCTTACGGTCGTGTCGACGGTTGGCAGTTGAGGTGCAGACGTTACGGTCGTGTCGTTGATGAAAGTTAATGTGCATGCGTTGCGTACATGCTGCTGGAGGTCGGTGTTGAAACCTCCGGTAGTTATTATAACCGATAGTATACGGGAAATGTTATTCAAGTCGAAGTTAAAGGAAGTCGATCGCTGCTGGTCATCGCAGGTGATCGCTGCTGGTCATTGCAGATGATCGCTGCTGGACGATCGTTGGTCTCTGCAGGTGATCGCTGCTGGTCGGGCTTCGGATTGGACGTGTCGGGTAGGAACAGTATTGGCGACGGTCGCTGGTCAGTGCCGGGAAGCTGGCGTTGCGATGTTGTTGGGCATATCGAATATCCGGTGCTGGCGTTGCGTATTTGTTGGTCAAGTCGGATATCGAAACCTCCCGTAGTAATTATAACCGTAGTGTACAGGAAAGGTTATGGACGACGTGCAGGCAGCAAGTGGGGTCTTAATACCGAGAGTCGCAGGAAGCCAGAATAAAGGTAGAAGTAAAAAGAGAAAGAAAGACAAATCCAACTCGCGCCCAATTGGCAGACAAAAGAAAATGGGAACGTAACTTAATACGCAGCCCGGCTTGCGTACCAACCCCTGAATACGTTAAAAAAAAAAAAAAAAAAAATACTATTGTCATAAATCAAATTTCAAAATGTATCATTTGAAATATTTAACTAGGATGATTTTAGAAGATTATGGTTGAGGTTTGGGAAAAAAAAAAGATTAACCCTTTCGCAAACCTAAACGAGCCTAGGCCGTAATTTAGTTTATTTACAACATAACTAAACTAGCTTTTTTACTCAAGACACCGTGACTCTCTAAAAGAAATTATCCCTTAATTAGCAATATAACCTGTCTTCGACCGGGTCTTTCATTACTGGGAATTTTTACCATTCAGTTGGATCAGTTTAAGTTTAAAGTCTAATCAATATTAGTAACAACAATTGGTTGCAACTGAGGCACATCCCCAAGTGGAGGAGAGGTGGCCCTGAAAAGGTCCGTTTTTGTGTTCTCAATCTTGTTTCAGCCTCACGCACAGCAGCAGTTGAAGAGGCGCTTCTCCTCAGCCGTTGAGTCCTTTGATCGTCATTTTTAGACTCGCGCGCAGAAGCGTTCAGGTATGCTCTTCTGGAAAGCCAATGGTTATGTTGATCTTTGGACTCAGTGGCTCTGATTAAAGCATTCCAAGACAAGCAAACTGAACGTTCTAAAGACGATTCGTTATCTCTTATTCGCATGGCGGACATAGCGGTAGCGGTTTTGCAACCTAGGCAAGTTCTTTTCTTTGGTGACATGTCTTAGGCAAGTATGAATTGTCAAATAGAATGAATAGGCAAATACCAGAAGAGAACCCTGTAAAGCTACAGGGATCACTAAACTCGAATAACTTTTTAGGAAAGTTTGGAAAAATAAATGTTTAATAAAAAAGCAAGCTTACTTATTACTACGGTGAATGCAATTCAAAAACTGGCAGGACAATAAAAAATTTAAATTGGGAACGGCTATGTCGTAGTAGGCTTTATGCAACGGAAAAGGTAACCTTGTTGCGGACCCGGTAGCGTGCAGTGCTGGTTTATTAAAAAGTGGCCTTGTGCCAGACACTATGACTACCGAATCCACAAACAAAGTAAAAATATTGAGTGAGTGAACTTAGTGAGGAAAAGGGGTCATTCAACAAGTGCATAAATATAATACAAGTAGATAGCCTGGATTAAATGACAAAAGGCGTCTGGTTGAAAAACATATATGAAATTTTATTATATTTAAACAAGTAAGTTGTCTCGTCAGTTGAGGCCATCAATGAAGTTACTGGATCTTAGGAATTAATGAAAAAATGTCGTGACAAGTAGTCACTGAAGGAATGTTTGTGTTCCGCGCCAAAATAGAAAACCAAGATGGCTAAGGCGGGAAAAAGTTTCATCAGAAAGAAAGTTCTGGAAAAATGACTTGTTAAACGCAAGGTGTATGTGTACACAAATAGGAAAAGGTACTCACTGTGAGGTTTGATAGTTTGAGTGTAATGTAAATTTTTTTAGGTACTGGTTCAAAGTAGTTAGAAGGTTCAAAGGTGTATGAACAGATTATCAACTTTCATTGAGGAGAATTCAGAGTTGTTTGCATCAAGACGAGGAATTTAGTCTTGGAAAGGTGTGAGGGCGACCGTGTTGTCGAACTCTGGTAGTGAATAGAGGAAAGTTCGAAAGTTGTTCGCATCAAGACGAGAAGTTGGACTTGGAAAAATATATATTGACGACGGTGTCGTGGAACTTTACATTTTCTAGTTGAAAATGGAGGAAAGTTCAACAAGCTGTTGCATCAAGACGGGGATAAGTCTTGGAAAAATATATTGACGACGGTGTCGTGGAACTCTACGTTTTCTAGCTGAAAACGGAGAAGGATCAACATGCTGTTTGCATCAAGACGAGGATGAGTCTTGGAAAAGTATAATTTCGACATGTTGAAGTTTTGGTTAGTTAAGAATAAGATATTCCGGCCCGCGTATGGGTTAGGGGCACGGAATAAATGAGTTGTCCGTCTAGCTTGAAGATCGGGAAGCAACTGAGTTGGAAACGCTGATCGTCGGTGACGTCAGGAAACGCGCGGGAAAAAAATTCAAATTCTGATTTTAGACGTTATCAGGAGTAGCTAGTAAGCAACCTTCCTCACTCCAGCCAAAAGAGGCTGTTTACTGCTATGTCTAGATTAATGTGAGAGGAAGTGTGGAAGGAAGGGGGGAAAACTCGCGCGCGCGTAAAATTTAGGTGGAAATACTGTGTTATTCCACAACCTCACACTTGAGAGAGATTGAATGCTTGGCCAAGAGAGGGTAATGTGTAATTTGGACTCAAAACTAGCAATGAAGAATTATCTATCAAACAATAAAAATTCATCGGAATCAGAAAACTGTGGAAACGCATAAACAAAATCCGATCACACACACACACACACATACATACATACATACATACACACACATTTTGAGAATTATAGATACAGATAATTTATTGTAATTTAAAAGTGTTTGTTAAAGTTTTTATGAAAGAAAACGTTGCTGAGAGTTATAATGGACAGGAAATAGTGGAGAGCCATTGTCACCAACAATTCGGACTCAAACTGGCACTGAAGAATTATCTATAAAAAAAAAAATCTCCGAAATCGGATGAAAAGTGTGGAAACGCATAAACAACATCCAATCATACACACATACACACACATTTTGAGAATTATATATGAAACTAAAAACTAAAAATTGATTAAAAATAACTTTAAAAATAATCATAAGAGAAAGGACGAAAGGAGATTCCTTATTTATTTACTTCGTTTTTAAAATTAAATCGCTGTAAACCCCCACTAATTCGGGGGTGCCCGGAAAATTCGGCAACTTAAAATTTGAAATAAAAGTCGACTGAAAATTGATTTTCGGGTCGTTCTGGAGTGGGGATTTGGGGAGGGGGTCTAAACCCCTCTCCTATATTTTTAAATAACTGAAAATCGTGGAGTCCAGATAAAACCTCACTACAACCATACCAGGGCCGTACTTTTCGATCCGCTTATTAGCTAAAAAAAAAAAAAATCATGATAAAACTCCACAGTTCACAGCAACAATGCGAGAGCCGTTCTTTCTGGATAGGGGGAGGGGGTGTAAATAAATATTCATAAGTATTTATTTAATTACTATTGTTTTCAAATTAATAACATCGTTTTCTAATTAAAAAAAATTAAAACAATTTTGACGATAAAATTATGTTTTCATTAAGTTTTGGTTTCGAAGCATGTTTTCATCACGGTGGGTATGCTGATGTTTTTTTTAGCGTTTTTAGTGGAGGAACTAGAGTAGTGTCAAATATTGACCGGGATAGAAAAACTGTTTAGTTCTGTATTAATTATGAAATTTATTTTTATATGCATTGATTAATTTAATTGAATGACAACTGCTTGTGTAAGTAAGTATGTATTATAAAGAAACAAACAAAACAAATAATTCTTTAACACATCGGTGATTTTTCTTAATGGAAATATTTTAATTTTCTTTCTTTTTGAGAGAAAAAAGGAAACATGTATGCATACCTGAATAAATGCGAATAACCCGTGAATGCGAATTTGTTCTCGTGCGACCTTAAAAGCCGCTGTCAGCCGAACTGAGCACATGTTATCGTAAATTGAGAGCAGAAGAGAATTGTGTATAATATACGCAAAATCTTGTGACGTCACAAATGTATGCGTTTTTCATCAGCAGAACGGTCGTCTCAAACATTTTGTGCAGCGCGGGAGATTTACTTGTCATTTACTTTTTCAATTATTCATTCAGAAATGAAAGATGTTTAAAATACCGGATGATGACGATGAAGATGATGAATTTTGGAAGGTTTGTTAACTGATTTTTCAAACCCATCCTTTGTTGTAAACTTGAATATATATTTAAAAAAAGAAAAAACGCTGCTCGCTATATTATTGAAAATTTGATTATGGTGTAAAAAAAACTAACAATTCAGAACTTATTCATTCAACAGTTTGATTTAATGTAAGATTTTCTTAATTTTTAAAATTTATTCAGTTATAAGTTTTGTAGTTTATTTTAACAATGATTTGGTTTAACTTTAGTTAAATAGTTTATTTTTGTAGGAAAATATACTTATGAATATGACGTCTGAAAACTTAAAAAATAAATAAATAAAATCAAGTGTTTTTTTAATTGTTTGTACGAAATTCCAAAAGCTAATGCTAAACATTATATTTTCACAAAACTTAATTAACCGTTGCCTTGAAACTTAAACTACGTAAAAAAGTAAGATATTTAATTTTTTAATAAAAATTGAATATTCAGTGTTACTTTTTTTTTCTTCCTCCCCACTTTTTTATTTATTTCTGTAATTAAAAAGTAAACAAAAGCGCACAAGTTTGAAACTGTCCTTGACAATTTTCTAGGATTACTTCCTAAAATTATTTTAGCGATTCTTCTTATGTTTTCTTCACTCGTTCTCATTACGATCCATCTAAAAATCCTGAGGTTAATGGTTTATGAGCAGCATCAACCACTTGTTAACCAATTGGTTGGTGCTTTTTAGTTTCCCTAAAACATAAATAAATTGAAATTACAATTGTTGACCGTTTTGTTACTAGGACGTTGTTATTTGTCCTTCCAAACGATTTTAGTGATTGATGGTGACCTGATGAAAAAAATCTTACTCTATACAACTTGTAAAGCAGTTTTTCTTTCATTTCTTAGTCATAACGCAACCTTTTTTTTTTTTAATATATTTGGGCAGAGGCGTATCGTGGCAAAGTGCTGCCCGGAGCCCGTATTCATAATGGCACCCCCTCCCTTTTTTTTTCTTTTTGAGGAAATACCCTTAATGGCGTTGATTAGTATCAGGACATCCCATAAGTTCTGTCCGAATTTTGAATAAAGAAAACAAGTGACCAAATGTTACATTCAATTACAGATTCAATGTATTTTCCCTGATTATCTATGACTTCCTTCCACCTATTAGCAAGCTTACTAATTCCATTACTGTAAAAAAAATTCTTTTGGCTTTGATTCGAAGAACTCACAAATGTCAGTTTTAACCTCTTCCTGTGTTACAAAAGCTGTTTCTTCCAAATGATTCTGTAAGCTACGAAACAAATGATAGTCTGAAGGAGCAAGATCGGGAGAATAAGGTGGATGAGAAATTTTCTCCCAACCAAGTTCTTCGATCTTTTGTGACGTGATTCTTGATGTGTGGGGTCGCACATTGTCCTGATGAAACATCACCTCTTTTCGATTCACTAGAGCAGCTTTTTTTTCCCTCAAAGCTTGGTTCAAATGCTCTAATTGCTGACAGTATATTTGTTGAGTCTTAATTGTTGAATTAGGTGATAAGAATTCAAAGTGGATTATTCCTTGGCGATCCCACCAGATTGAAAGAAGAACTTTTTGCCCATGAAGTTCCCTTCCCGGCTGTGGCCCTTCCCCTTTACCAAGCCACTGTTTACGACGTTTAACATTTCGATAAAAGATCCATTTTCGTCGCCAGTCACAAGTCTATCCAAAAAAGGTGAAACAAGTTGGCAAGAATGGAGAGAAGAGCAAATGTCAACTCGGGATTTGAGGTTGTTTTCAGACTAATCATGAGGCACCCATTTTCAAAGTTTAGGAACTTTTCCAAGTTGTTGAAAATGACTATGAACAGTTGTATGGTTTGAACTGAGAACCACTGCCAATTCCTCAACTGATAAAGCAGGATTTTCTTCAAGGGCTGCTTCAAGAAGCTTTTCATCAAACTCAACTGGACGTCCAGTTCGATCTTCATCTTCAAGGGTGAAATCTCCACCTCTGAATTTTACAAACCATCTTCTGCAAGTTCTTTCATTCACACATTCCTATCCATAAACTGAGTGAATGTTTCTAGCTGCTTCGGCTGCTGAGTTTCCTTTCCTGAACTCATAAAGCATTATGTGCCTCAAATGATTCTTGGGTACTTCCATGTTAGCAGGGTTTTAATCAAACAAAATTTAATTTTATTGTTCTCTGAAATAAAATTTGATCAGTTTAAATGCATCTAAACATAAAAATAATGTTCAGCTCCATTAGACATAAAATACTCTTTAAATTTCATTCATTTTAACAAAAAGTTAAAATTCGGACAGAACTTATGGGATGACCTGATACTTGAAAAATAACAAATTCAAAAATTAGCTGAGCAAACGTTATATTTTAAGCTTTTTCAGAAGCAAATTTACTAATAACTTTGTCAAAGTCTATCTTCTCCACAGTTTCATGTTCAATTGAAATGAGGGACAAATTGGAGAAGTGATCTTGCAACATAGTCGATCTCAAGTGACTTTTAATGAGCTTCAGTTTTGAGAAGCTTCTCTCTTTAGTAGCAGCAGAAACTGTGAGCATCAAAAACAGCTGTAGAGCAATCACAATATTTGGCACTGTTTCTTGAACTTGTCATCGATAAATCTATCTCGGCCATTTGATAGCCAACGATTTAGTCATGTCACATTCCACTTTGGAAACTGCCACTAAAAAATCCTGAAGTCAGAGAACTTCCAAAGACAGATACGTCTAAGTCAGCACCATATTCACTACCGAGAATTTTAAATTTTCACTCCAACTCGCCTTCAGTATCTTCCAGGATTGTTTGCGATGATAATCCAGCGAAGACAGTTTGCAGATGAGTCAAATTGTGCTTCCAGTTCATTTACAAGTCAATCATGACATTCGTAAAGATTTCTCTTTACTTCCTGTACAAGTGTTTGACATACATAATCCCCCCCACCACCAGGTACATTTCTCTTTCTTCTAATCTGCTTTTCCATTTCCTTGCACATTGCTTTACTTTGATTAACTGATTCAGACACCAGCCTGTCTGTTTTGTTTAAAGAAAATTTTGGTCGCATCCATGTGAGTTACACACACATCCAAACCAATACCAGATTCTTGAAGTTTCTTTTGGATGAGATTTATTTGTCCCAGAATTTCTTTCCAAATGTGACATGAAGGAGAAATTTTCAATTGAAAGCAAAATGATTTATGCATTCCTTCTCATTTGAAGATTTACTGAATCGAGTGCCTGAATCACTCCTTGAAATCTGGTTTTCACTGCATGAATAGCTTCATAACGCACACTCCAATGGATGGTTACCAAATGCTTCATCATGACCTTCACATGGGAAGAGAAAACTTAAGAGAAAAATGAATTTTTTTTTTTTTTTTTTTTTTTAATAATAAAATTTGAAAACTTTTAACAATGAATTGAAAACTTTTTAAGAATGAAATGAAAACAAATCAGACATTATTTTAGAATTTCCCCAAAAAAATCAGGTCAAAAGAGCATACAAGGCTGGGCTCCTGCTGCTACTATAAATGGAGCATTCTTTAAAAAATAAGCTGAAAATTTTGGGATTGCATATCTTGAAGATAACCAGATAAGTAAACTGTTTTTTTTTTTTGTTTTTTTTTTTTTATGAATAAATAGTTTAGACTTCTTTAATAATGTCATAGCAGTTGAAAAAAATATAACGAGGTGGGTCATTATTGTGCAGTGACTGGCAAAATAGCCTCTTCTTAATTCTTAGATTTAAATGAAGGCTTTTTTGTTCTAAAATGTATCAATTATTTAAAAAAAAAAAAAAAAAAGAATTAAACTTATGTTTTGAAGTTAACATGTTTTTACTAAGGATAGTTGGTCAGTCCAATGCTGTGTTTCGGTGTTGCTCTGATTGTATATGGTGGTCTCTTCCAGGATTGGTACCATTGACTCATAAAATAGATAAACATCATTGGGGGCAATAAAAAAAAAAATAAAACCCAAATATTTCTTAAAACCCATGTGAGTTATCATTTACTATCAAAAATTGAAATCAACTATAATCCTTACATTGATTCAGTGATTTTGCTCTTAAATCTAATCAGTATCCCATGATATGTAAAAAAAAAATATATATTGGAAATTTTAATTAATCAAATTATTAATAATATTTTGAAATCTCATGGAGAATAAGAGAAAAATATAAATTATAATCTAACAAAAACATTTGAAACTATGCCATATTTTATTTTTAATTTTCTGCTCAAAAGACCTGTTTTGGGAAGGAGAACAACTTAAAAAAACAATTTTATTTCTCTAATCTTAAAAATCTTAAGATTTCAAAGAAGACAACTTTTCTTTATTTCTTCAATCAACTTTAGTCTGAATGAAAAATTGTAAAGTTTTTTTAAATATTTTTAAAATTTTGGAAAATATGCTATTTTACATTGGGCAGTTTTAATCATACATTTTTAGGTAGATAATAAATCCTTATTTAATTACAAATATTTCCTCTTAGAAAGGTTTGAAGGCTTTCAAAATTCACTGTAAAATTTTTAAGTGAATAAAATGTAAGTAAATTGCATCAGAGGAAATTATATATTGGTTGTATAAAGCATACAATATAGTAGGGATGTCTCTTGGAATGTCCCAGTTTGGTCTTGTAGTCTCAGTAAGACGTCACTCACAGCAGGGCCAGATCAAAGTACCGGCATCTCAGACAGTTGCACAAGTTTATGTATTTGTGATTTTCCAAACAAAAAGGAATGAATGTGAAAAAAAAAAATTTGAATTAAAAAAAAACAAAATATTAGGTTTCTTTTTTGAAGCACCATAACATAAAAATGAATTATCGCATCTTAAATTCTTTTCACTCGCAAAATACCACTCCTGTGAAGTGCTACCCAAAGCCCACCATTGGTTCATTTGATGAAAGGCAAGAATAAAATTGACAAATGTAGTTTACCCACACAGCTTCTAATTTAAATTTATTGAACTTCCAAATACACAAGGCAACTTCACAAGTGGTATGGTTATATTTTTTCTTTGTATTCTTGAATTGTCTACC